AATTTTGAATTCTCCTCCCCTAATGAATTTCCTAATTAAGTCAAATTAAATTAGGATATTAATTATGGGGAGTTACAATCTTTTTGAAATTCAAATTCCCTCCCAATTTTCTTTAAAGAAGGGAGTTACATGATATAATTAAAATCTGAAATCTAAATTTTAGATTTTGATTAATTAATTGTGGTCCCCACCTACTTAAAATTTCCCATCTCTCTCCTATCTCATTAATAGGCCTCCTCATTAAGTCTCCATAATTACCTCCCACAATTCCCTCTTATCCAATTTAATTCTCCCCATTAAATTTGAGTTTAAATTCAAATTCATCCCGCCAATTCCACTTAATCTGAAATTTAATTTCAGATTTTCATTCTCTCTCCCCAAATTGATTGGGATTTAATTGATCTTGCCACCTAGGCAAGTAAATGGCATTTACGTTTCACATCACATCTCCTGCTATTCTCATCACATTTGATCACTTCACTTGGAGAACCCAACCTACATTTGTCTGTACTTGTGTGAGGATCAAATTGTTTTTATGGCGATTCATTCCTTACTCATTCTTTTTTTTTTCTCAAATGAGTAATTGGTTTACTTGTTTGATCGATTATTTTTCAAACCTTGGAACCAAGAATCAAAATGATTATGTTTTAGTTCGTAGAGGATTCCGTTAGATAATCCCAAAAATCATTGAAAAAATCTTCAAATGCTTTCGTGATAATATGTATAAATTGTGAAAAATTAAGCAACTCCATGATGCTAAGCGAGAATTCATCATTAAATACCAATATCACGATAGTGTGAATTTATTATAAAGTTTTCAATATGACAGATGTTCTGTTCTATCCTATTTCTTTACAGGAAAAATTGGGGAAGGCGTCGATTAGGAGAGGCATATAATTTCCCCTCAATGTTAAGCCAATGTTTTACAGCTTGTTGTTGAAGTTCAAACTCGCCAAAATTATGGAAATCAACAAATAATAGAAGAAACAAAAGCTAATCAAGAGTCAAAGATTTTCCATTAAACTTCAAATCTACATAAAGATCAACAAAAAAATTCATAATAGTACCGCAACAACCAAACTAATTGATAGAAGATGTGTGCAATGGAAGTGTTTTGAAGATACGTACTCTCAAACTTATTGCAGTTAGAAACAAGAAAACGATTTGCAAAAATCAAATTTACCTCAACTCTTTCATGAATGACAATAACCTTGTCGGACAGATTATTTGCTTTGACAACTTCACTAGCCTGGTAAAATATCCAAAACAGCCTTATGGTCAATGAAAAATGAATCCTGCAACTTGATAATCAAAGGAAAACTAAGATGATTAAAATATAAAAAGGTTGGACGAATTAGAAAAGGAGAAAAAAATATAATTATTACCGTACAAATATATAAGAACAGCAAACCAAGACAGTACAGAGGTAGTCAAATAAGAAATTAATCAAGACAGCAGCACCGGGAAAAGAGAGCAAATTAGCAGGAGGTTTAATGTAAAATAAGTCACTCAGGTTATTCCAAAAGCAATGCATCGATGGCCAATCTCATTGGAAGTTCAACATTCCACTCTCAAAAAATGGTAGAATTCATTTGGTGGGTGAGGGCTGGATGTAGAAAAGACGCTGGCAATTGCATTGACACTGGAATGAGGGTGGCAGGCTACGAGCGGATGAAGATGAGAGATAGAAATCTGCATGTATATTATTGTTGGAAGAATAAAATCAATCAATGTTTTGAGAAAAAAGTTTATTTGATTTATTTATGTGGCTTATTTTACAATTTCAATCAGTTTGTAACATGCCTACGTGATGGCTGCGAGAAAGAGCCATGTTTTCAATTTTCTAATGTTAGGTTGATTTGTATGATTAGGTGTACAATCAGGCAAATTTGGTTCATAGATAATTTCAAATTCCACAGAAGTTCGTGGATAATATCAACTAGCTTTTGATGAAAATTCATGTCTTGCTTATTTCTGCCTTCAATTGTGGGTTGCAGCTTTTGCGTTGACTAATGTGATTCCTAATGCTGCTAGCGGGCAACATTTCCTCTGCATGTTTTTGCGGATCCTCTGCTGACCCTTACTCAAATTATGTTGCAACAACTATGTCACAACTTATCCACTAACTCATTGTTATTACTCCTGTCATTCCCTTTGTCTATATTTTGCATTGGTATGCGATCAATGCAATTGTAGAAAGTTTCTTTTATAAAGTGTGCGGGTTTTGAATAATCAAAAATTGTATTTAAGATTATCTAAAATTGAATTAGGATGATATTGTGACTGTCATATCTACTAATGGAGAGATGACAAATATATAAAAAGATAGATTGAGGCATGTAATTGTATTAATTTGACTCAATATAATTTATTACTCTAGTTTCAATCTTATGAGTGCAAATTATGCGTGTGATTCCCTTGCGTGATACAAATTTTATCAGCTAATTTTATGGGAAGTCATCTCCTTGAACCATTTCCAAGTCTAAATTTCTTAACTTAGGTGAATTCTTTCCTTGACTTAATTTTTTCCAAATATCTTGTTATTGGTTTGCTAGTATTCCTGATAGTTGATACAACAAATTTGATAAAATTAGGATTCTAATTGTGGTGAATTAATTATCATTATTTTGCATACTTAAATTTCTCATTGATTTCCTTCAAATTTATTCAATCATATTGCATTTTCATTGGGTTCTAATTCTTGTATTTATTGTTTTGTGCCAAAAGAAATCAATTTCTTTTAGCATAGTAAGTGGACATGGATAAGCAAATCAAAATTAACCTTGCATAATCTACATACATTGCAGCATTTTAGTTGCAGTAAAAAACTTTAACCCAAACCATTCTACACCAAATTGGTAATAGAGAGCTTTAGGTTGTTTCATCATAATAAACAAATTGAAGTATTGAATCATTTAATGATACGAGATTAGTTTATTTGTAGGGGTGTCAATTTCGGGTCACGGGTCGGGTTCGGGTTGAACCCGAAACTGACCAGGCACTATTCGGGTTTGGGTCAACCCGACCCGTTTTTACAAACGGGTCAATTTTCCAGACCCGAACCCGACCCTCTTCGGGTTCGGGTCAACCTGACCCGACTAGCTTCGGTGTAGCTGATTCGAAGTGCAGACACGGTCACGCGGTCCGACAGCGGCCGCCGGCGGGGCAACGACAGCGGTGCAGGCGATTCGACGCGCGAATGCAGGGCAGGCTGCGCTGGCGGCGACTTAACTCGGGCAGGCGACGCGCGGCTCGATGTCTCGAATGATCGAACCTCCTTCAGACGCGATTCGACGCGCGGACGCGATCACGTGGGCAGTTGGGCCAGCAACGCGAGGTAGCGAGGAAGCCAGAGCAGGCAACGCGGGGCAACGGTCAGCCGGGCAGACGAATTTTTTGAGTCATTCCCGAGTTTCCGGGTCAACCCGAACCCAACCTGGTTTTGCAAACGGGTTGGTTTTTTGGACCCGAACCCGACCTGCTTCGGGTTCGGGTCATCCCAAATCCAAAATTTTCGGGTTGGGTTTTCAGGTCGGATCCAATATTGACAGCTCTACTTATTTGGTTTATTTTAATTCCAATCAGTTTGGAACATGCTTATAATGATAGTCTTGAGGAAGGTGCTTAATGTTTTGTAAAGTTAGGATGGTGATAGGAAATGCTTCTTGAAATAGAAGAAAACCTTAGCTAAAATTGAATTTTAGCAAGCCCAAAACAAAAAAACAAGGAAGATTTAGGTGGAATCACACAAGAGAAACTTTTTAATTGATGATAAGAAGAAGAAACAAACACAATACAATGAATTTTCAATTGGAGAGGAAAATTCGGCTCTCTCATATCTCTAGCCGCCGGCTAGAGCCCAAACACCCTAAGAACAATTTAAATTCAACAAACAACAAATACCCCTAACCTTAGGAAAATCACCTACTTAAAGAAAACAACAAATAGCAAATACCCAAACAGCCCTCCCTCAATTCCCTCCCAAATCTACCCTATTTCCTTAATTATTTCCCTCCCAAATCTGGCCTCTTCAATTGGAAAAATTTTCTAATTAATCACCTTCAAATCAACCTCCAAATCTGTCATCTTCAATTATGAAACATTTCCTATTTAATCAACCCCCAAATCCATCCTCTTCAGTTAGGAAATATTTCATAATTAATCAACTTCAGATCAGCTCCCCACCCTCTCCCTCCTCTCCCACGGCCCCTGCTCTTGCCCGTATAAATACTCCCCCAAAAAAGCGCAAATTGTTTTCAAGGTGGAATGATAGAAAATGACTAAGGAAAACCTTGCCTCTAAGGGCGAGCCACCTAGCCAGCCCTGAATCTCGAACCTCCTCCAGGCCCTACAGCTCCACCAAGTAGTCCAACCCTGCTCCTTGTATTGCCTTAACAATGGTTCCGAGTGAAATCATAGTTTTGGACAGACTAGAATCCCCTCTAATAACCACTTTTTCCCTTTAATCTTGAACTCCATCATTAGCGTTTGCCAATCAATCTTGGTCTTTTCCAACTTCTGCAACCATTTCATTTCGAGGATGACATTAGTGCTCCCTAACTCAAATGGAAGAAAGTACTCCCTCACCTGGACTCCATGTATGGTTATAACCACCCCCCTACACACTCCTTTACCTATCTCCATCTTCCCAACGCCAATCATCACCCCATAGCACCTTATGTCCACCAGTTTCACCCCCAATTTCTCTATCACCTTGTTGGAGATGAAGTTGTGGGTAGCCCTACTGTCTATCAACATCAGTACCTCCATATCTGCTATTTCTCCTCTCAATTTCATAGTGTGATTCGGAGTGAATCCCACCATTGAGTTCAAGGAGACATCTGTCATGTCTAAATGCAGCTTTTCCCCAATACCTCTCATCACATCTGAAACATAACCCTGTTGCCTGCTACTCTGCACCTTTGTTTCTATAAGGTGCTTGAAGTTGTCTCCAAGGCAAACTCCAGTGCCTTTCTCCTTCGATGCTTCCCTCTGAAATGACACCATCTAGGTTCTTAGTGTCAGGGTCGTAGAGGTACTCCTGTAAGCCCCTCCCATAATGTTGCTCTTGCTGGTCTGCTCCCTCCGACATTTTTCCTTCATCCTCTGAGGCTCCATTGTCTCACTCAAACCTCTCGCTCTCAGCACCTTGAGCTCTGCTCGTATGTCCTCCCTAAGCCCCTTCATAAAATTCCCTTCCAATCCTTCCTCGAAAATTCCTCTCAATCATCCCGACAGCAACTCATACTTCTCCCGATACTCCATGACTATCCCCTCTTGAGTTAGGGCATATAACTGTTCATGGAGGTCTCCTTCCTGAATGGCTTGAAAACACTCCGACAAACACTCATTAATTCCCCCCATGAATAGATAGGACATCGAGCCTACCTCCACTAAAACCAAGCTAAGGCTTTCTCTCCAAGCATAGCCTTGCCGCCGTGAGTTTTTCCCCTTCCAAGCCATTGATCGCAAAGTAACGCTCCACCCGATACACCCAACCTTACGCATCTTCCCATTCAAACACTGGCATATTCAAATTTCTCAATCTCACATCCATACCCCAATGGCTTCTCCTTCCATTAATTCCTCCTATGTAATGATGGTGTGAATCTCTCCCTTCTCCCTTGGCTGATTTGGACCTCATGACTCCACCCAACCATGCCCTCCTCCATTCCACCTCTACTATGCCTAGATCATCTCCCAAAGGGTTCGTCCTCCCCCTCTTTGCCATCCTTCCTTCGGAATACCCCGATACGCCCACCCAAGGAGCCTCCCGTGGAGGTCCTTGATGGAAAACACTCTCCACTTCATCATTGTCCTCTGAAATCTCCCTCCCCTTTAGTTCAACCCTCGAAACCGCCGATAAGGCGTTTGACTGCATTTCGATAAACTTCATCATGTCTTCCATATTTTCGAAGCAGCTCTCTATGGATAAGAACCTCCCTTCCATGTTCAAATATCTTTCCTCCACTCCGGCCTTGAGATTTTCAATCTCACTTTCTAACATCTCCATCTTATTTGTTGCCATTCATGGATTTAGGCTCCAAACCATGAAAAATAACAAAAATTGGCAAATATAGTCTTCAAATGACGAAAATCAACAAGGTGGGAAGAAAAATACAGCAAAAATCAACAATGAGAACTTAAATTTCATCCCAGGACAACTCTGATATCAATTTAATAGGAAACACTTCTTGAAATAGAAGAAACCCTTGGCTGAAATTGAATTTCAGCAAGCCCAAAACAACAAACAAGGAAGATCTAGGTTTTATCACACAAGAGAAACTTTTTAATTGATGATAAGAATAAGAAACAAACAAGATACAATGGATCGTCAATTGAAGAGGAAGATCCGGCCAAATCTCTAGCCGCCGGCTAGAGCCCAAATACCCTAAGAACAACCTAACTTCAGCAAACAGCACAAACCCCTAACCCTAGGAAAATAACCTACTTAAAGCAAACAATAAATAACAAATACCCAAACAGCCCCACCCCAATTCCCTCCCAAATCTACCTTATTTCCTTTCCAAATCAACTCTCAAATCAGGCCCGAAATTTGCCCTCTTCAATTAAGAAACATTTCCTAATTAATCCCCTCCAAATCAGCTCCCAAATCAAACCCCAAATCTGCCCTCTTCAATTAGGAAAGATTTTATAATTAATCAGCCCCAAATTTGCTCTTTTCAATTAAAAAATATTTCATAATTAACCACCTTCAAATCAGCCCCCCTCTCTTGCGGCTTCCGCTCCCGCTGTATTAGATGATATATATGGTTCGACATGCGATCAAACATAGCTTGGTTCATGGATAATTTTAGTTGCACATTAGTTTATGGATACAATCAGGTGGATTTTGATTGAAGTTATTGCTAGTTGTTAGTTGTAGGCTTCCATGCCTTCCTTATCCACACCTCCACTAATGGATTATAACTTATGCATGAGTTTTTGCAATTTCTATCATTTCTAACACGCGATGCTCCTTATGTGTACTAGCGTAGAACCTATGTAGAGAATTACTTGGATACTGTTGTGTCTCCTATGTCACGACTTATCTACCAAGTTGTTGATAATCCATTAAAAAAAATAAATTAAATTAAACAAAAATTTTGTTAATCCTTTACTATTGTTCCTTTCGCTTATATGATGAGGGTTTCGTATGTGATCATTGTGTAAAGGTTATGGTTGGGTTTCTTTTTTAGCTTAGGTTTGGGTTTATCAAGGCTTCAATTTTAAGCATACCTAGAATTCAAATGGGCTAATCTTACAACAAACAATCTACTAACCTAATTTCAGGGAAATTCATCTCCTAAAAAATTGCTAGCTAGTCTAAAAGGATAGAAGGAAATAATGGAAAGAGCTTATCTAAAAACTATCACTTATCTAGTTCATGTAATCCTATTATCCCATCCATCTGATCATGGTTCCACTAAGGTTTAATCACCAAAAGCTTAATCATAATTATCAATGTTTCTATCATGTTATGCATTAGCTTATAAGTAGTTGATATGACAGTGAGAACGCTTAAACACATCATTTGCACTTGCATCACGAACATCCAACTCATCAAAAGGAAATTTTAGTCAGGCTACTCACATCACCATACTTTATTAGGAAGTATCTCTGGTTTCAACAATCACGTTTGTCCCGCAATGGCTTATGTTTACTTCCCTCATTAGTTGTACTATTTTAATCTACTACACTGACACTGCAAGACCACATTCTATGATGCACCGACACTTCTCCTCAAAGAGGCGTGCAGTGTCTGACACCGTGTCCGACATGACACTCGTCCGACACTCCTCCGACACATGTCGGACATGCCGAAAATGTGTCCGATTAAAAAAATATTAAAATAAATTGGACACGCGTGTTCGACACGCGTATCTTAAATATTTTATAATTTTTTTAAAATATAATTTCTTATATTTGGCGAGATTTAAACTAAATTTCTTATTTCATATCCACAACACCAAATCAACGTCTGCATTTAATACCCATTCATCGAATATTCTCATTTTCATTGTGTCCCGTGTCCGTGTCGCCGTGTCCGTGTCTGTGCAACATAGACCACATTCGATGTAGCCAATCCTTGAAGATTCTAACTGTTACAAGTGATTCAGAATTTTGCTGATGTTTCAATAGCAGAAAAAAGTAATAAAGTTCTCCGTACAGAATATTAAACAAATACTATTTGAGTTATAGGTAGTGGCTTCATAATATGGTACATAAAAGGAAAAACAAGATGATAGGGAATTCACCAAATGATATGGTAAGGAATCAGATGGAGCCAAATGAAATGGATGACAGACATGAAAGAGTGAATATCCTGTACTACAATTAACTAAGAAGCGTGAATATAAAAGAAAGAAGTGATCACACGTAAGAATTTACCCTTAAGAAAAAATATGAATGTGGGCCAGCAACCAACTTAATTGAAGATGGATTGCTAAACAATCATGGCAGTATGGTATGGCATAGCATTTTCTAGAAAAGAAAGATAAAACAAGATTTAAGAAAAGTTTAGTCAAAAGATTAATCATGTCTCGGTAAAAGTGTGCCATAGATGTTACAGGCCCGTGACTAAAGGCATCTGTTAATTGTCCATAGGCACCTTCAAAGAAAACACAACCCTTCATATTATTTCAAGCATCCATGAATCAAGGCGGTTGATCAAAGATACAGATAATCACTAAATTTACTAATAAAAATGACATGCAAAAGATCTTGTCTAAAAAAGAATAAATCAGTATCCACTCAACTGCAACCAGTGGTCACTGTTTATTATTGTAAAGGAACGAAAACTTATTTCGTAACTTAGCTTAGGTTTCGACCCCAATGCCTAATTCATCCAAATGGTATACTAATTATTGTCTTTTACTTAGCTGGGTAGATTCACTTAGACGAGCAAATCAATCTTTACATCCTCAAATAAGGATTAATATTTTAAAAAAAAGGACTAATCAATTATAACATTTTTGGGATCAATGCTTAAAAACAAAACATTGCCCAAGGCCAGAGGCTTTGCGCTCATTAGTTTAACTTGAATTAAAGTAAATCATCAAATAATAAAATTTTAATACATTATAAATATATTTCCCATAAATTTAAATGAAAGAATGAATGAACAGATTATTTTCTTTTAATCCCTTGAGAGTTAAATTCAATCAAATTGATTTCTCACATACAAATCCTTAGAAACATTGATGGTTTAGAAATATTGAAGCTTTAAACCCAACCGCCTTCTTCTCCGACACATTATTTCATCACAAATATATACTCACTTGACTCCATTATTCTTCATTTGACTCATTGCTTATCTTGTTTTATTTTGACCTCTCATTTTATTTAACTTTATATGATTGTGTCAATTACATTTTAGAGAAAGAATATCAATCATATGGTTAAGGCAATAGATTCAGAGAACTTTTATCTTATATTTGATTTTTTAATCATATCTTTATTTATGAAATATTAAAACAAAAAAATACAAAGGGTTTATGCCCCCTTAAGCCTTTTAAAACATTGTTTGAAATCAATCAGTTCTCATACCAGACAAAATATTTTATGCATATCATTCAAGGATTGAATTATACTAATTAAATTACACAAGATTACCTAATCCTTAGGATTAAGTAATCCTCGCTGAAGAGCATTTAAAGAAAAAATTTACAGCAAGAGATTTCAATTGTTAACATAGATAAACCGAAAAGCTTGAACTATACATAATTAGTATCTTAATGAACTAGAAGCAAGAAATAATGATGGAAATATAAAGAAAAAAAGTGATAAAACAATATTATGATAGATGCACATACAATCACATAAAACAGAAGTTGTTCATATACTATAAAAGGCATATTCAAATTGAGGCAAGCCATTCTACCTGCACGGCAATATCACTTGCTTCTATCGCATAAACCTGAGAATGTGAGAAGGGGTTCAGAAGTAAGGATGTGGAACTGCCAGGCGAGGTAAAGAAATGGACGAAGTTGCGCCATCCTAAAATCATAATGACTATGAATATTATTAATAAAAAAAAAGCTTTGCAATAATAATGAAATGTTGTGCCACCCGTAAAACATTCTTCAGAGTAATTCTTCAGAGGAGTAAGTCACATAAATACTCCCAAAAAGCGGCTAAGGAATGCATATCAACCAAACAGGTATCAATTACTAATTAAACAGAGAACTGGCTGAGCTTGAATGCTGTAAAAAGGAGATTACATGGAATATGACACTGAAATGATGGATCATGGGAAAGAGAAATTCAGCTGCAAATTAGCTCAAGTGTTTTATTTTATGCCAAATATCGATAGTATTAAGGATAGTAATGATGCTTCGGTGACACATGCTAAATATGTTCAGCTAACCAGCATTGCTTTTAATTAAGGAGAGAAACTAGCAAAGGATATAAAACAAGTAACAGTGAAGGATAGCGAAAAGTGGCCTTTCAAATTGGCGAATATGGTTGAAAATGTTATTCCGAAATGCATGTTGCTCAAATTGCACAAAAACAAGGATAGAGTTGCAAGCAAATTCAAATCATGCAAAAAACTCGAGACACGTCAATGTATTTAGACGTCAATGTAGTTAGAACTAGCCCAACAAACAGAGAAGAGAAAGTGCAACATGCATAAGACTCTCAAGACCAATATTCTAAAGAGAGAGAATAACTTCCCAAAAAATGGTTTAACTATGAATTACATGATTTCGGTATCCATGATGCATCCTATTAAAAAGTTAAAGTTCCAGGTAAACGATATGGTCCATTTATCATGTAATGAAACAAATCATCTAGCTTTAATATATTCTTGCTTAAACCAAAAGAATTTTTTAATGCATATTTGATCAACACTAATCATTTTCTTGAAGAAAGGTGAAACGATCATAACAACAACAACATCAAGCCTTTATCCCACTGTGGCTGGCTTAAAGGTGAGACAAAGCAAAAAACTTTATAGTGCACCAACATATAGTGTTGTTTAAATACCGTGTATACAAATGCTTTGCATAAATATTTGTTTGCTGCTACATGTCTTAGTTTGAAACAAAATTTAGCAATAAAATAAGGTAAAAAGTTAAAAAAATGGAAATAAATAAAATACCTCAAACTAAAGAAAAAGAAAGAAAACAATATGATTATAATATATAATAATACCATACCAAAAGTTTTACTAACGAGTAACGACAATCTTAAGTTTTTAAGCATTTAATCTACTAAGCATGGACTAGTGTCAAAAATAAAATATGTAATCAAAATACCTAATGTCCATAATAAAAAAGTATCACCTAATAAAGTATAATATCATACTATCAAATAAGGAACTTAACAGATCAACAAAGGAAAAAACTAACTTTAGTTCAATTATAAAAACTTTTAAATATTTCATCAAATGTATTAAATTATAAACAATACAACAACATTAATCATTAGATCTAATTTTATCAATATCAATATTATACTTTTTACACAAAATCCAAAAAACTCAAAACATAGCATATAATCTTCAAAATAACCACATAAAATATGAGCAAACTAATGTATCTTTAATTAGAACCAACATAGTCACAATCAATCACCATTACCACTAAACTAATTTCCTCTTCAAAACCACATTTTCCATCATCAATAAAAAAGATAGATTGCAAAGTTAGATCATTGAGAAAAAACACAATTCAAGGTGTGCTTTGGCTGTTTTGGTTAAAATTTAGATAAAATAAAAGCAAATCAAGCGTTATGTTCAATGTACCGTGCATAGCAGGTGTGTCGAAGGCATGTCATTTTTAGGTGCATATCCATGTTGGATCTTGTTAAAACCGGGAAATCGAGAGGGAAAAGCTTGCTTTATTCATTACTATCTTCCCTATTTATAGATCTATACAAGATATCTAAATGAGGAAATACTAGATTACATAAAATTTCTAATAAAATCTTTCCTAAATTCGTTCCTCCATTATGGCGTGATCCATGAGAGCATCCCACGGATTGATCTTTGTGTCTGTTGGATCCTTGCACTGGGAACGGCTGGATTTCAACACTCCCTCTCAAACTGGAAAATATGGATCTGTCATTCCCAGCTTGTCAATCATTCTGAGAAAGGCAGAACTGTCTAATCCTTTGGTAAGTATATCTGCAAGTTGATCCCTTGATGATACATGGTTGACAATTACTAGATCACTGTCTAGTTTTTCTTTAATGAAATGTTTGTCCACTTATAAGTGCTTGGTCCAGTCATGCTGGACTGGATTGTGGGCTATGCTGATTGCTGATTTGTTGTCACAATGTAGCTTCATGGGCTCATCCCACTTAACCTTTAAGTCTTCTAGGATTATTTTGATCCATAGTAGCTCACATATTCCCAAGGCAATAGCTCAATATTTTGCTTCTGCACTGGATCTTGCCACCACATTCTGTTTCTTGCTTCTCCATGTAACTAAGTTACCTCCAAAGAATGTGCAGTATCCAGATGTAGATCTTTTGTCAACAGGTGATCCTGCATAGTCAGCATCCGTGTACACTTCTAGGGTTATTCTGCGATATCTCTTAAAGAGAATCCCTTTTCCTGGGTTTCCTTTAAGGTAGTGCAATATCCTGTCAACCGCTTGCATATGGACTTGCTTTGGATTCTGCATAAACTGACTGACCATGCTTACAGCAAATGCTATAGCTATATTTGGTCTAGTGTGGGAAAGATAGATTAATTTCCCTACAAGTCTCTGGTAGGCTCCTTTATCCACATCTGGATCTTCTCTAGCTTCCCCCATTTTAAGATTAGGTTCTACTGATGTTGGTGCTGGCTTACAGGCTAGTTTCCCTATTTCTTTCAGACGATCTTTAATGTACTTTTGTTGTGAGATGAAGATTCCCTTGCTTGAGTGAGCTAGCTCGATTCCAAGAAAGTATTTTAGTTTACCAAGTTCTTTGATGTCAAATTTCTTGGTAAGACTTTTCCTTAGACTATCTTTCTTCTTTCCATTATTTCCAGTCAAAATAATATCATCCACATACACTAGCAATATTATGACTCCCCCTGAGTCTGAATGTTTAAAGAATAGTGTATGATCCCCTTGGCTTTGTTTATATCCATTAAGGAGCATAAACTTAGAGAACCTTCCAAACCAAGCACTTGGTGATTGTTTGGGCCCATATATGGCCTTTTTTAATTTGCACACCTCGTTACCACCAGAATTTAAGGAATTTACCTTAAATCCTGGTGGTATTTCCATAAATATTTCTTCTTCCAAATCCCCATGTAGGAATGCATTTTTTACATCCAATTATTTAAGATGCCAATTGTACTTAGCTGCTATTGAGAGTAGAATTCTGACAGTGTTCATTTTGACTACTGGTGCAAAAGTTTCCTGGTAGTCAATGCCATATGCCTGAGTGTAACCTTTCGCCACTAGCCTTGCTTTGTATCTTTCCAGTGTGCCATCAGATTTGTATTTTACAGAGAACACCCATTTGTAGCCAACCGATTTTTTTCCTGTTGGTAGATTGATGATCTCCCATGTCTTGTTCTTCTCTAGAGCCTGTATTTCATCCTTCATGACATTTTTCCAATTTACATCAGATAGTGCCTCAGAAATATCTTTAGGAATATGAATATCATCAAGTATAACCAGGAAGTTTTTGTGTGTGGAGGAAAAATTATTGAAGGATATAGAGTTGATTATAAGGTATAAAGGGAAGTGGAGAGTTTGCCTTATTTTTAGGAGATGGCTGAGATTCTTGGATCTGCTTCGGAGCTTAGGTTGAACTTGTACGCCTGGAATATACCTTCCCAAATCTAAGGATAGTTTTATCTTCAGCTTCCCTAGTTTGAGTTTCAGGAGGATTGGTTTGATGTGGTAGAGGAAGGTTAAGAGGTGCAAGCAAACTTTCATCTTCTTCCTTTGTTTCAGTCTCCCCCTGAAGATGAGGTTTGGTAAAGTAGGAGTTTTGTTCATCAAAGGTGAAATCAATGGATACAAGTATTTCTTTATAGGGGGGTGATAGCATTTGTACCCTTTTTGGGTGGCAGAGTATCCAATGACCAATGAAGATACATTTGAGTGCCATTGGATCTAGTTTTCCTCTGTTATGGCTGTGGATATGGACATAGGCAATGCACCTACAGATTCTGGGTGTGAGGTTATTATGGATTTGAAACTCGGGATAAAAGGAGGACAAAATATCCATTGGAGCTTTCATTCCCAAGGTTTTTGACGGTAGTCGATTTATGAGGTAGGTGGCAGTTAGGAGAGCTTCTCCCCAGTAGGATTTGGGTATATTATGGTGGAGTAGGAAGGCACGAGTAGAGGCTAGGAGGTGACCATTTTTCCTTTCTGCAATCCCATTTTATTGTGGGGTGTGAACGCAGGAGGACTCGTGGATGATACCTTCACTCTGAAAGTAAGAGTGTAGGGTTTGATTGAAGTAGTCTTTAGCATTATCCGAATGAAATCTCTTTATTTTGACTCCGAATTGATTTTGGATCATGGTGTGAAAAATGGGAAGAATGGTGCTAACGTCTGATTTATTTTTGAGGAGACAGATGATCCTAGAAACCCAAGTGCAATTATCAATGAAAGATACAAACCAACCACCCCGGAGATGTTGGGAGTTTTTGAGGGTCCCCATATGTCACTATGAATGAGATAGAAAGGAGTATTGCATCTTTCATTCTTGTTTGGAAAGGAGGTTCTTTTATGTTTGACTAATTCACAGGTTTCACAATGAAATTTTTCATTTTCTAATTTAGGGAAAAGTTTTGGATAAATGTGTTTCAAGATTTCTATTGATGGATGTCCTAATCTGAAGTGATTAAGCCAAATGGTAGATTTCTTGTCAACTAGAGATAACATAGAGTAGCTAGATTTGTTTGGCTCTTCGAGGTAGTACAACCCATATCTCTCTTTAGCAAGTCCAATCGTCTTTCCCGATTCCTGATCTTGAAATAGGCAAAAAGAAGGGTTAAATAAAACTAGGCAATTATGATCCCTGGTAAATTTTTGTATGGATATAAGATTTGTGGATAATTGAGGAACATAAATCACATTTTTTAGAGTGAAGGGGATAAGGGTATGTCTCCTTGGCCTTCTACTTTGACAAAAGAACCATCAGCAGTGATGATTTTCTTGTTTATTGAGCAAGGATCATAATTGATGAAATGGGTAGTGGAGTTTGTCATGTGATCTGTGGCTCCTGAGTCAATAATCCATATTCCTTAAGAATAATTTCTAGAGATACTTAATCCGGTGAATATGGGAAATATACCTGAAAGTGCAAGAGAGGGAGATGCAGGAGATTGAGGTTTTTCAAGGGATACCAGGAGTTGTCTGAGCCTTTCAATGCCTTCTTTATTGAAGCTTTGGGTTGAGTTTTCTTCAATCATTGTTATCTCACAAGACTATCAGCAATGAAGGCTGATAATATCAACAATAACGGCTATTTCAGAAAATAAAGGCTGATTATATCAGCAATAAAGACTGACTGATTAGGTAATATCAGCAATAAAGGCTGAAAACCTTGTTAAAACAAAAGGAATTGATTTCCTCTCGGTTTAATGAGCTGAGCTTTAAGAGGCTCGAGTACGAGCCCTCCCCTGTTTAATTGACTGAACCCAGTCTTAAGAGGCACGCACGAAGGGACTCAAGCGGGAGCAGCTCGAGCTCGCAGCCTCGCTCCTTCGTGTCTGTTCGACTAGGCTCCTTCGATGATCGTGCCTAGCAAAATCGGAACAGGCGGAACCGAGGCTTCCGTCTGTGGCAAGTGTGTGCGAGCGTCCCGTGCCCGAGCGAAAGTCTTCTCCGTGTGGAAGTCTCGTGTCCGAGCGTCTGTGGCAAGAAGGCGAACTAGGACTACCTCTGGAGCGAGCGTGTCTAAGCATCCCGTGCCCGAGCGGAAGTCTTCTCTGTGCGGCTTCTTCCGAAGTTCCTCCTAAGCGTGCTCAAGCATGTCTTCGGTTGGTTTCGTCCAGCAGAAGTTCCTCGGAGGCCCGCTCGGTTGTTCCGTCCTGTAGGGACGACTTCGTCTGCCGCTACTTCGCCTTTCGTCAGCACAACTCCGTCTCACAGCTGTGAGGCTTCGTCTTTTGTCAAGAAGGCTCTGATACCATGTTAAAACAAGGAAATCGAGAGGGAAAAGCTTGCTTTATTCATTACCATCTTCCCTATTTATAGATCTATACAAGATATCTAAATGAGGAATTAATAGATTACATAAAATTTCTAATAAAATCTTTCCTAAATTCGTTCCTCCATTATGGTGTGATCCATGAGAGCATCCCAAGGATTGATCTTTGTGTCCGTCAGATCCTTGCACTGGGAACGGCTGGATTTCAACAGATCTAACAGTGACATGAAAGAAATTTAGGAATGCTAATGCTTCATATCATCTAATTAATGTGTTTGAGAATGTCAGAATTTTCACTAGTAAAAATTGATTAAATTTGAAGAGAGAAATGGCTTTTTTTTTTCCTTTTGGCTAAATGTGGCCTATTAGGTGGGTTGGGTGGTGTCACAAACTATGGTAGCATAGAGAATGGCAGCAAGTTGAAATTTCAAAATAGGAAAAACATGAATTGAAAAACTAGAGTGCAAAGGGTCTAGCTCCATATCTCCTACAGCAGGATCTGGCTCAAGAACAAGAATACTTCTTACCTGAACTTTAAGCTATCAAACAATAACTTCTTAAATGATAGAGTTTTTTTTCCTAATTCCTAAAAAAGAAAGATTCCATATAGAAGGCAATAGCACGTACACTTATTTAAGCCACATTTTGCTAAAACATTCCTGGGTAATATTTGCATACCTTAAAAAGTTATATGTTAAAAAAAGAGCAAAAGGATCTTTAGGTAAGTTTACAGCATCTAAAGAAGACAAATATTAGTGTTGCTTAGGAAATGCAAGTCATATCCTTCTTAAGTTGAGCAAATACAAAATTATGATACTATCAAACAGCATTGTGATGAAGGTAGCTTCAACAATTAAATATAAAGGGCATGTCATAGATTATTGATGTAAAATTCATAAATGATTTGTTATTGAATCAGAAAAAAAGGAATATAAATTTCATTGATGAATAATTATGGCCGATATTACCCTTCTAGCACCAGCAAGAGCACAGAATATAGAAAGAATGCCTGTCCCACAGCCTACATCCATTACAACCTACAAATACACGCACAAAGTTTAAAATTATGGATTGACATGACAATAGCAAAAAAAAACCAACCTAAAGTATTCAACCCAAATTTCCAATTTGCAGCATAAAATTGCAAATGAAAACCCAAAGAAAATTTCTTACTTTCCCTGAAATTAAATTTTGATGTCGCATGATGGCATTCCTGTAAGTTTCCGTCCTAACATGATCCTAAACAGTAATAACAAGTTTAGTAAGTAGCAATTAATTGTACATCATTAAAAAGCAAAATTCAGCAACAAAGACTGAACTAAGTCTGACATAGATAAAATCATGACCAAGACAATAACAACAACAAAAACAACAACAACAACAACAACAACAAGCCTTTATCCCACTATATGGGGTCGGCTACATGAATCTTTTTTCTCCATTGTATCTTGTTAAGAGTCAAATTCTCATCTAAATCTAATAAAGAAATGTCATTTCTAATATTTTTTAACCAAGTCTTTTTAGGTCTACCTGATGTAGAATGGTGGGGGTGGGGGAAAATAAAAATAAAAAAATATGAAATTCAATTTCAGATTTCCCTTAATTAAGGGATTTGAATTTGAAATTCAAATAAGATGGAGGGAAGGATAAGAAGTGGTTAATTATTCCCCTAATTGGATTCCTTAACAAGGAAGGAAATAATTAAAGTAGGGGAGAGAGAGGGATCGGCCAAGTGAGAGGGAAGGAGGAGGTGTCTAGGTTTAATGAATGTGAATCAAGCATTAATTGGAATTGAGAATTAAATCTGAAACTAATTTAGATTGGGAGTAATTGGAGGGGTTTCCTAAAGTAGAACTTATTAAATAGGAAAGTTTTTGAAATTCAAAATTTATTTAAATTCAAATTGAATAACTTTCCAAATTAACAAATAGCTAATTTAGGAAAGTCTCTCAATTCAATTAAGATTGAAATTTGAATTTGAAATCTGTCCAAATTGAAATACACCACATATGGAAAGGGATTAATTTGGGATTTGAAGATTTGTAGGCAAAGAGAGGCACTATGGTCGGCGGTCAAGTGAGGGCTAGGGTTTGATAGTGGCGGCTAGGAGGAAAGGAAAGGTTTTGGGAGGTTTTGGGAGGGAAGAAAGGATCCTTGAGGCCGATGGTTGTGGGACTTATGGCCGGTGGGTGGAGGAGAAAGAAGGGGTGATGGTGTTCGGTTTAGAGAGTGGAGGGAGGGAAGAGGGAAGCTTGGTTGGCGGCTATGGAGGGGTATGGTCGGCGGTCAAGGAAGAAGGATAAAAGGAGTTTAGGGAAAGAAAGATAAAACCATGAGCCCGAATGCTTCTTGCGGCTGACGGGTTATATGTTGCCCCTTCATCAAGGGACTTCGAGCCACGAGCTCGGACCCATCCTGGGCTGGTGGATACTACGATTCCCTCCCATATGAATCTCACTAAAGTCCTCCAAAGAAACAAGAGTGCAAAACAATTTTTTTATTAATAATCCAACATTCTCTAATACAAGAGTAAGGGCCTCTATATATAGGCTTTAGAAAACTAAAAGACAACTTTGTCCCTTGGGCTTACATAAGACAAGACCCTTAAGTAAGGGTAAAAATGAAAAATGCATAATTAAATAAAAATACAATAAATAAATTAAGATAAAAAATGGAGGGATCTCGGCCGTCGATCTTCATCTCTTCCTTTGATTAACGTCCACCGTCGGATGTCCGCATCACTACCTCTACCTATCTTAACATAAGTTAAATCTAATGCATCTATTTTAGTATTTTCCCAACCGGGTCATCGGGAGGCCGCCATTTTATATGACCAAATCATCTAAGGCGGCTCTCTCTAATCTTATCTTCCATTGGAGCTGCTCTAACTTTTTCACGTATATGCTCATTTCATATCATGTCTCTAAGAATAAAGCCAGTCGTCCACTTGAGCATCCTCATCTCTACAACACTTTTATTATGCTTCTCTTTTAATGGCCAAAGTTCTGCACCATAAAGCATTGCATGTCTCACTACCATTTTATAGAATTTTACCTTAAATTTGAGAGGGACTTTTATATTACACAACAAGCTGGTGCCTTCCTCCACTTCAACCATCAAACTTGAATTCTACTAATAATATCCCCATCTATTTCACCATCACTCTAAACAATAAACCCAAGGTATATAAAACGTGTACTCTTATTAATGACTTAATTGCCCAAAATCACAATCCCTGCTAGATCTATTATTACTAAAATTGCACTCCATATATTCAATTTTAGATCTACTCAAACAAAAGCCTTTAGACTCTAAGGTTGACCTCCATAATTCAAGTTTACCTTCAACTCCCTCTATAGAGTTAACAACAAGAAGAATATCATCAACAAAAAACATACACCAATGTAGAAACTCTTGCAAATGTCTAATGAGAGCATCCATGACTAAAACAAAAAGATATGGGCTTAAGGCTGATCCCTGATGCAATCCGACTTAAATAGGAAAAAACTTGGTCAAACCACCTTGTGTTTGAACACAAGTAACAACTCCTGCATACATATCCTTAATGATTTAAATATAAGCATTATTAAACCTTTTCTTATATAGAACTCTCAATAGTATCTTTCTAAACTAAATCCTTACTACTCATATCTCTTTGTTTAGCTAACTTACACATATATTTTTTGCCCTCATTAGTATCCAATTCATTATATAAATAATTAAAAGCTAAAATCTTTGCAATATAATTACTATTAATATAAAAAGTTGCAGATATATACCCATAACTCCCATTCACTATACTCCACAAATTACAAGCTTATTGCATGAATAAGGTAGGAGATACATAATACTTGGAGTTTGCATCATGCTATTGGTGGCTTTGTTTTGCAGTGTTGGGGATTTTGATTTATATAAGTTATTGTTTACTAATGCAGTGGACCCAGGTTGGGCCACCAAATTTCATTCCCTTATGTGTTATTGAATTAAAACATTTGGTTGGGATCTAGTAATTATAGGCAAAGAGTGTGGCTCCAATGGTTGAAAATGAATCTAGAGTAGTAGACTCCCAACTTTGCTCCCCAGGTCAAGTGTTTATATATTGCATGAGTTGTCAAAAAGCTTAGGCTTGTAGTGATGCCTAATATGGAGGCTCGCATATAAGAAAGAGTATAATAATATATGCTAGGGTAAGTTAAATATACTTGGAACTGCAACTTATAAAATATGGCATAAGGAGTTCAATTCATTATACACTAATGCGGGTTTGAATCAAGTGCTAAGTCATTAAGCCTAAATTAATTAGAACAACATTACTATATCAAACTCCAATTTACACTTGGCATTTTACATTTTCCTTATTTCCAGCATTCACAGAATGAACATACCAATAACTTTAATGCACATTGCCATGCAATCACCTTGACAATAAAGCATATTAAAGACAAACTTGAACTCGAGCATACATTTAACCAATCTCTACATAAAAAAAGCTATTAAACCAAAAAAAGATCATAATGCGTAAAAGCATGTCTCCAGCACCATATAAATCCTTTAATCTATGTCAAAGTATAAAGGAACAACTTCAAAACTTCTAACATTTGCAAAATTTTGTCTAGTTTGGATACATCGTTGCATAAAAATTTCAAGATGATATTTAAGACCTAATATGTTTACATCAAGAAGTTGACCAAATTTCTCACAATCTAAATCTACGGCTGCCTAATGGCCAAGAAAATTAAAATAAACTAAAATCTAAACAATTTTAATCATCATTAATTAATTAAAAAAAAACATTGCATTGCTCAAATGAGATGAAATTTAACCAATTGCATTCAATTTGATTGATAGCATTCTTATCCAAACAACACTACCATTTAGACAACATTAAGCCAAACAATAACTTCACCAAAGGTAAGGATAGGACACAAAAACAAAGTCTTCTCCTGCATATTACAATCAACTTAAAAGCTTAGACACTTTATCCATACTATAAATGATTATAAAATCTCACTTTAAACCGCATTTTATTATTCCCTTTCGCAAAGATCATCACCTAATGGCAACATTAAAGAAAAAAATTGCGTGTGGGGTAGGGGTGGAGGGAGAAAGTGAGAGAACACCTTTATCATTTCCTCATGGATGCCGATTTGGGAATAGGATTGGAAATATGCGTCATCGAGCTCTTCCCACTTGGTAGAAGATGCCCACTCGGTTGGCGACTGGCGCACTTGAGATGAGGAAGAGTACGAAGAAATGTTATCATACGAAATCTGAAAGGAGCCGCGGCGACTGCCAGCGCCCCTCCTCCGCCGATACCGCGGCGACCTTTCCGGTCCCTGCGGTGCGTAGCCATTGCCAAGGTAGCCTGGGAAACCCGGATGCATCGCAGGTACAAGGAAGGACGACGAGATGGATCGTCTTCTACCGCAGGAAACCTTCAAGAAAAGGACAACGAGGGTTTTTGGGTTTTTACAAAGCGTATAGAGCGGGCGCGGGTTTTGGTGCGAATGCATGCGTAATATTTTGAATACATTTAATAAGAAGCCATAAGATGGAACATTATGATAATAAATATGAAAATATAAATATTTTGATAAATTTATTATTGCATAGATATTATATTTTTTAAAATAAATCATTGCACTTATAAATTTTTTATTAATTAATGTAATCAAACTATTTGGAATATAAAAATTCTTTTTAAATTTAATAAATTAATATGCATTTAATATTATTTAAAATGAGTTATTTCTCTATTGAATAAACATAATATATAATTTAACTTAAATAATATTTATTTTGAAAAAAAATATTAATTTTCTTTAATTAGTGCATAATTTTTCACTAATTATTTATAAATAATATTTACTATGTAAGAAATGATGAGCTAATTTCACATTTCATTATAGTATACAATTTAGATTTGTTGAAAATATATCAATTATTAAGATGGGTAAGAGAATATAACATTTTCCTAAGATTTTATTTAAGATGATTTTTTTATTAAGAAGTAATAATAAAGCAGTTCTAAATGAAGCTTAAGACTTCATTTAGTACGAAGAAGCTAAAAGAGAAGAAATGAAAAAAAAAAATGAAAATAATAAATGGAATTGAAATGAAAATTATCTTCACTCACTGATTTGGCTGAGATTAATTTGATGACAAAGGAGAGTAATCTATCAATTTGATGCACACCATAGGGTATGGATCCCAAACAACACATGAGGAGATAGTTTGGGATTATGACTAGCACTTTTTATTATTGATTAAATTCGATTAGTATAAGTTAAAATTACTATTGCTAAATAATTCAATTTAATGTAGCAAAAATATAATAGTCATTAATTATAAATATTAACAAATAATTAAATATTGTTACGTTTACTTAAGTTAATAGACTTATATATTAAATGTTACTTTAAATTAATATAATGGAAATTTAAATACTAAAACTATCAAAGAGAAGATAATTTTTTACCACAACTGTCTATGGGAGAATCTGATGGAACAACCAAAAAATTTAAAAATGAAAGCAATTTAGTATTATGCACACTTCAATTTAAGCAGAAAATCATAAAGAGAAACATGAACACATTTAAAATTTTTTGATCAACCCAATTTCTTACTAATTACAATTTAAACATTAAGCCAAACAATCAAGATGAAATAATTAGGTAAATAATATTGCTTTTCAGCTAAATTCCTCCAACTAAAACAGCCAAAAGAAAAGTACTTCCAAAAGGAGAGTAAAAGGGCAAGAAGGCGAGAACAAGAATAAGAAGAATAAAATGTAGCAAAATTGAGGAAAAAAGAACAACAGAGAAGCTTTGCCTTGCCAAATAGCACATAAAAACCCAAAGGGCTACATCCAAAAAAAAGAAAAAGAAAAAAAAGAAGAAGAATTAGGCAACAATAAGAAGAAGAATAATAAGATAACTCACATGATAGTGGGGATCAGGAAATAAGTCAAATGACATAGTAGCTACATATAATCCCCAATGTAATAATATATGATAGGTGGTCGTCTCCACTGAAAACATATAGAAAATCCATGGTAGCTGTGTATGCAAACAAGGGAATCAAAATCATGAAAAAGGAAAATCTTTTAAAAAAATATCTTAGATACATATTCTTTGGCAGAAAGACGTATTGAGAAAAATACCTGCTTGCACAAGAATATCAGCCATATCCCGTTTAATATCGTTCAGTATCATATCCTTTTACATCTTACAAGTTTCCATTATTGCCATGAACGCCACCAGCAGATTGTCCCAACTCAAAGGTTAAAATGCCAATCAAAGCCCCATCATGCAGACATATTTCAAACAACCAAATGAACCATATAAAGAATCCTTTATAAGAATTATATTGTTAATATCATCAGCTGACATTTAAATACAAATTAAAATCATATGAAGAAGAAGAAGAATTAGGCAACAATAAGAAGAAGAATAATAAGATAACTCACATGATAGTGGGAATCAGGAAATAAGTCAAGTGTCAAAGCTTCCTACTAATAGCTACATATAATCCCCAAGGTAATTGCAGCTGCAGTTGCCTGAAAAGTTCAAGACCATCCAAAAATGCAGCTACAGTTGCCTGAGGCATTCCAGACCACTCAATGATGCCACACCATTACCATATGAAAGATAAAGATCTTACAATTTAAATTGGGATTTATATATATTACACTTACATGATGGACCAACTTTTAAAAAAATTTATATAATTAAGGGACAAAAAAGGAGCAAAGTGATCCTCTGAGAAAAAAATGACCACATATAAATATATATATCTCTATCATAGGTCTTCTCCACTAAAAACATATAGAAAATCCATGGTAGCTATATGCAAACAAGGGAATCAAAATTATGAAAAAGTAAAATCATAAAAAAATATCTTAGATAAATTTTCTTTAGCAGAAAGATGAATTGGGAAAATACCTGCCTGCACAAGAATATCAGCCATATCCCATTTAATATCGTTTAGTATCATATCCTTTTATGATCAAATTTTTGGAGCCCACAATTAGTAAAGAAATTATGATGAAATTCAATTACTAAGAGTTTTGTTTGTCACACATTACTGGTGGAGGTAAATTTTAGCAAGATTTTGGATCTGATCACTTAATAAAAGAATAGATTAGAATAGATATACAAGGATATAGACACCGTTGTCTTTTAGGATCCTGAGATTAAAAAAGAGAGGGACAGTTACTACGAAAATAATAATATGTTTCCGTATACATGGAATACAAAAGGAGTTAAAAATCTAAGTATAACATAGTATAATCATTTCACCTGCCAACCTCCTCCAACATCTTCAATGTATTATGATGTGCATTCTGGCCACACTATATGCATACAAGACCATGAATGCAAATAAGTAATAAGGTTGAATACTAAAAATAAGAAA